TTGATTTCTTGACTTCTGCTTCTGTTGGCATTGTGCCCCACCCAGTCCTTCATACACACTGTACTTCATGTAGATAATTGTCACCTATCCATGTCTGTTACCATCCTGTCCTCCCAAGTCCCCCCTGAATTCTCCCTACTCACTCCTCCCCACTGCCCACCAACCTTTAGTATCCCAGTGTTCACCCCACTTCTCCCATTTCCATCCCCCTCCTTTGACTGTTTATCTTGCTCAGTTATTCTCCTATTGTAACATCAGCGGTCTTGTGCAGTATTTGTCCTTCTATCACAAAGCTTTTAAAGTGTCACTTGTAACATTTGAGCATACAAAGTTCATACTTACTTTTCACCTACTCAGGAGACAAGGTCCCCCATTGTGGTGTTTAAGGATCTGCTGTGAAAGAATAAGGGGCTATCCTTATTTCTTACTGAGTTTAATTAGTTCATCTCTTCCCTCTCCTCTCCCTTTACCTTATTGATACCTAACTATGTAAAATTATGTATCCAAAAGCATGGCTTTTGAAATGAGAATTGTCTTTTCTGAGCCCCTTTCCCCTAACTTACGGGTGGCAATACTTAAAGATAGTTTGGGTAGAATGTTGAATGATCCAGGATGTATAAAAAGAAGATGGAAGGAGTACACAGAGTCACTGTATCAGAAGGAATTGGCTGACACAGAGGAATTTCATGAAATAACATATGAGCAAGAACCTATGGTGATGAAGGAGGAAGTTCAAGTTGCTATGAAGGAATTAGCAAAAATCAAGGCTCCAGGAGTTGACTGCATACCAATTGATTTGTTTCAACAAAAAGACACTGCCCTGAATGTCCTCACTAAGTTGTGCCAGGAAATCTGGGGGACAGCCAGCTGGCCAACTGGAAGAGATCGATATTTGTTCCCATTCCTAAGAAAGGTGACCCAATAGAGTGTGGAAATTATCGAACAATATCATTGATATCACATGCAAGCAAGATTCTGCTGCAAATTATCCAAAAATGTTTGGAACAGTAAGTCAACAGAGAACTGCCAGATGAGCAGGCTGGATTTAGAAGAGGTCGTGGTACTAGGGATATTATATCTAATGTAAGATGGATTTTGGCAGAAAGCAGAGAATACCAGAAGAATGTCTGTCTGTGCTTCATTGACTCTGCAAAGGCTTTTGACTGTGTGGATCACAACAAGCTATGGCTGACCCTGAGAAGAATGGGAATCCCAGAACATTTGATTGTGCTAATGTAAAACCTATTCTTGGACCAGGAGGCAGTCATCAGAACAGAGCAGGGAGACACTGGGTGGTTCAAAATCAAGAAAGGGGTCCATCCAAGAAAGGGATGTGTTTTGTCTCCATACCTTTTCAATCTGTATGCAGAATACATCATCTGAGATGCTGGGCTGTATGAGGAGGAATGTGGCATCAGGATTGGTGGAAGAATCTTCAACAGCCTGCATTATGCAGATGACACAACCCTGCTCACTGAAACTGAGGAGGACCTGAAGCGCTTGTTGCAGAAGGTCAAGGACTGCGGTCTTCAATATGAATTGAAGCTTACTATCAAGAAAAAAAAGATTCTCACCACCGGGCCAATTGGCAGCATCAGTATGGATGGTGAAGAGATTGAGATTGTTAACAGCTTTAGTTTACTTGGTTCCCCAGTCAACACTCTTAGTAACAGCAGCCAGGAAATCAGGAGTCGAATTGCATTGGGAAAGTCAGCTATGAGGGACCTCTCAAGAGTACTGAAGTGCAACGACGTCAGGCTGGAGACTAAGGTGCGCCTGATCCAGGCTATAGTCTTTGCAGTTACATGCTATGCATCAGAGAGTTGGACAGTGAATAGGGATGATAGAGAATTGATGCCTTTGAGTTGTGCTGGAGAAGAGTTTTGAATATACCATGGACTGCTAGGAGAACAAACAGGTTTTTCCTGGAGAGGGTGAAGCCAGCATGTTCCCTGGAGTCAAGGATTCTGAAGCTTCGTCTGACATACTTTGGGCATGTTGCAAAGAGGGACTGGTCCTTGGAGAGGGACATCATGTTTGGGAGAGTGGAGGGACGGTGCAGGAGAGGAAGACCCTCGATGAGATGGATCAATTCTGAGTGGAGTGGTAGGAATGAATGTGTTTTAGACAGCGAGGTTGGCACAGGATAGAAAGGCATTTAGGACTCTTGTACATAGGATCGCTATGAGTTGCAAATACTTGATGGCACGTAATAACAACAACAACTCCTTCTACACTGCATGCAAAAATAGTCAGAATTCACGAGTTTCACCAAATCTAGATGCACTTCCTTTTTTTTTAGATTTTATTTTAATGAGTAATTACAGAGATTTTGGATTTCCATTTAATCATTGTTGCACTTTTCACCCTGCCCAAACACCCCCCCTACCCTAGTTCACTCCTCTCTTTGAAATTAAAAGAAAAATTCTTTCTTTCGTATACAATCCCCCCACACCCCTTCCACCGCCCCAAGTACACTCCACTATGCAACCTTAATTGTGGACTCTTTAGATGCACTTCTTAACTGTTTTCAAAAATAATGCTTAATGTGGAAAAAGACATAGCATGAAAGAGTATGAGACAGTTAAAAAAAAATCTATCCAGTAACTAATTTTCCCACTCTACTTCTGTCTACCATTTTCCTCCACAAAGACTATTTAACACTTGGAGCAACTGGTGCCCAAAACCAAACGAATTCTGGTGATGAGGAAACCTAATTGTCCTTAAGCTGTAAACAATAAAGCAAAACATGAAGACAAACCATTATTAAACATCGTTTTCTTTTTGCTGGTTTGAAACATTTTAGAACATAGGGCCTCACTTAAATGTGTCAAAGCTAGAACAATAGGATATCCTGAGACACCATGTGGGACCAGTTGTGGCATGTGGTATTTTCTTTGAATGAATTTGTTAACCATGTTCTGCTTTCCCAAGAGAGAAATTCTAACAGACAAATTAATAGTTTCAGCTCTAGTAATTCCACTTCGTAGCTGTTTTAATAGTAGCAGTTCTTTTAATTCTTGGATTCCTCATTTGGAAAATGAAGGTGGTAATAAAGATTGAGTTTAAGGATAGAATGCAGAGTATCCAGTGTAGTGCCAGTCTTGTTAAGGATGCTTTACAGTAAACATTAATTCCTTTTCTCTTGTGAATACTATAATATTAATGCAGCTAATAAACAGCATATCATTGGCCAGGGTTCCGTTCTATTGTCCACAGGCTCAGTATGAGTTAGAGCCGACTCAGTGACTCCTAGTAAGACAGCTTGCTAAAGAGCACTGCCTCTAAAGCAGATCTGATAGTTATATTTGATCACACAGCATTTTCTATAAACTATATAAACTGAACAATATAGTTAAATTTTTGTTTCAGAAATCTCAAATGTAAATAAAAGCTAATATTTAAGGCTGAGAGTTAATTTGGCGTACAGTAAACCTTGGAAGGCCATGAGTTCCTGGAGGGTTTCCCAACTCTGCTCTGTTCAGATTTGGGGCCTAATAATTTGGTGAAGAATATGAAATATGAACTGTCAGAAGAACAAACTGTCTTCAAGAATGCTTCTTAGCAGTAAATTAGTGAGACTTTGTCTGATGTACTTTGGGCATGTTACTAAGAGGGACCAATTTTTGGAGAAAGCCATGATGCTTGGTAGAGCGTCGGGAGGAAAAGGTAACTAGACAAGGACAGTCAAAGCAGCAATAAATTCAGACATAACTTAGTTGGGAAATTTTCACAAGACTAGGCAGTGTTTAATTTTGTTATTTGTAAGGTCACTGTGAGTTGAAACCATTTTTTCTTCTCTGTTATGGGCAAGTCCTGTCTTAAAGGACCCTAGGAAGGGCTACGTTAGTCATTGGCTGAATAATTTTGTAAAGGACTGAGTAAATGGGAAGAACAATGTGGCTCACTTGAAAAAAGATGTAACTGGGATATGTCCCTATGATCAACACGTTGATCCTAGCTTCCTAATCGACCTGTAACTAGAAGGTTGTGTGATGCTAGTTGTTTTCTATCTCTTCCTCTCTACCCGCCCCCAAAGTAGTCATTTCCCTGATAGCAAGCAAGATCTTAATATAATTGTAAAATTCAGGATCTTGAAATGCTAGTTAAATGTGATTTAATAGAATATTTTCATTTTGAAACTGTTTATTTAATGGAAATTTGAATATATGTTGATTATTTGCCAATTTTAGCAGACTTGGATTTTATTTCAATTGCAAAGTTTGTTGCATTGCTAGAGCTCATAGATATAAGCTGTGATTAGTATATCTTATGTGTATTTCTAATTAAAAAGGATTTTTACTATCTCTAATTGCTTAGCTTCAAGCATTAACTGTAATACAGACATTAAAAGAATAGTATCTTAGTATTTCATATTAGCATGGATGAATACTAAAGTATACATAGGTAATTTGAAAGAAATTGAGTACCTGTTTGAATACTCTGTTAATACAAGGGAGAAAACGGCAATAATACATTTCTTGACATCCTTAGCTCCTCAGACTTACATCTTGATTTCATCTACCATGATAATCTTACTGGTAATGAAATCAGGTTGTTCACTGGCGTTTCACTGGAGCAATGGTTGTCAGACACCCTGTATGTAACTCTGCAATCATGGGTCCTATAGTCTCATTTCCAGAGAGCTGGTTTAAATGGTTCTAGCTTCAGCAGAGTTAAATCCTCAAGTCTTTGCTATTTCTGCAGAATCATAGTGGGGAAGATAGAACCAAGGGGCCTAGAATAGTCCTGAAAAAAAATTTTTTTTAATATTTTATTTTTTTTTGGGTGTGTGTGTGTGTGTGTGTGTGTACTGTCAAATCAGATCTGACTAGTACAGAAAGAGATTGCCCCTCCTCCAGCAGAGCATCTGGTGAGACCTGGAAAAATTGTTGTATGACTTCTTTGCTTAATAGAATTCAGATAACTATTTTGACATGCATGTATCTAAATACCAAAGTAAAAGATCCATTTGTTGTTTTTTTCCCTCCACTAGGCAGAAAAACTAATGAAGCAAATTGGTGTGAAAAATGTGAAACTCTCAGAATATGAAATGAGTATTGCTGCCCATCTAGTAGACCCTCTTAATATGCATGTATGTATCATTAATCTTAAAAGAATTCTTTTTGTCTGGTATTTTGTGTTCAAAATCCTTACGACCAAGCCTGGGTTCACTGATTAACCAGAAGGATTCACAGGACTCAGCCTACACTCATGGGTATACTTTTTTGAAGTGAAAGGATAAATAAAATTTACAGAGAGAAACACGGAGTCCAGAGGAATTCTGAAACAATCTTTCAAAAGCATTCTCCCTGTTCAGTCACATAAAATGCACTAGCAATAAATTGTAATAATTTTGAAATATTGTTTACTAGTGAAGCTCAGAAGCCCAAGGTTTTTACTGGTTCTGGTCACATAAGGGTGTCTGGTAAGCCTGTGCAAAAATCTAGTCTTTCAGAAGAAAAACAGTTGATAAGCATTAACATTATTTGTATAGTTTAAGCATAATGAGATCAGAGAATGGTAAAAATCCCAAGTTCCCAGTCACCAGCCCGGAACCAATCTTGTTGGAGTTTTAAAGGAAGTTAGATATTTGTGTTGGATATCCTAATATCTAAAAGTTGATCTTTATATAAAAATGGCATTGTTACTCTTTCTCTGTATACAAACTTAATAAAATTTGTTTGCTTTTGTGGCATAGACTGCTTTGTCACATGGATATGTGATTTATGAAATTTAAATCAAGATTTCCATGATCTGGTGTGGCAGACAGCACAGGATTCCAAATGCTAGTTTTTCTGATAATCTTGGCGAATGAATTCCTCTTTGAATCTCAGCTGACTTATTTGTAATCCAAGTATTATATAATAACACGTTTCATTAAGGGTGGATTAGATTCACATAAATTGTAAACTGAGATCTTTTGTAACTTTTAACAACAGATACAAGTAAATGTGCTAGATTATATTCCCTTTATGTAGTAATATATTGACATAGACAAGTAGATGAAAATATAACCTGGTTCTGTATATAGAACACAAAAATGTATGGTGTCTCCTAGTATCTGTGTTCCCACAGGCATGCACATTAATACATATTAGAATTAAATTTCCATTTGAAATTGGATATTAAATTTCAGGTCCTTACATACATTCATTTCTGAGTAAGACTGTCCTGAGAACATTCAGTTTTTGGTGACAGCTGCAATGATAGTAAGATTATAGGATGGGGGGTTTTTTGGGGGGGGAGGCGGTAGTGTTTCCCTTTCAGATTTGGCTGCTTATTTACATTGTCTCTTTTAATCATCTTTTTAAAGTTTCCTTTCATTAGATTTATTTAAAGAAAAAAATTTAAGTTGACACAGAAAAGTTTCTGTGTTTCAGAACAACAAAAAGTATAATATGTTCCTATTTTAAACATGTATATATCCTTTGTTTAATATTTTTGAAGACTTTATCATACTTTTGACTGAAATTTAGAAATCCATTTTAATGAATGTGTGTAAACCGAGAATTTCTGTCTTACCCATTAGTTGTACTGCTCACTAGAAGGCAGGTGATTGAAATCTACCAGCTGTTCCATGGAGAACGATGGATAGTCTCCTCCTGTGTGATTTACAGCCTCGAAAAGCCTGCTGGAGGTTCATCTCTGAGTTGGTTCCGACTTGACAGCATATAAAAGCAAACCTTTAAAACTCATGATTGACAAAATTATATTTGAAATATACACATTCCTAGTGAATTCAGCCAGTGCGCAATTATTTGGTTGACTGGTTCTCAATCTTGTAGTATTTCCTTGTCATAGATAGAATTAATTTCCTCCTTACTTTATCCCTGCATGTTTTTTAATGCCAAGCTTCATGATTTGGTTTTAATAAAAAGGAATGTTGGCTTTATTTTCAATTTCATAACAGTTTTTTATTTTATTATTTTTTGTGTGTATGCTGTCAAATGGCATCTGACTGGTATAGGAGGAGATTGTCCCTCCTTCTTCAGAGCATCTGGTGGATTCGAACCGTGCCCTTCTGGGATTGCAGTGTAGCTTCAGGCCACTAGGCCACCGGAGCTCCCTAACTTTTTTTTTTTTTATTTAAGATAGTTTGCCTTTCTTTGGGAATTATTTTGTTAACTTGATTATACATTAGTTGTAAAATTTGTGTTGACCTTGCTTTTACTAGGTTACTTGGAGTGATATAGCAGGTTTAGATGATGTAATTACAGATCTGAAAGACACAGTCATCTTGCCCATCAAAAAGAAGCATCTGTTTGAAAATTCCAGGCTTCTGCAACCTCCAAAAGGTATAGTAAAAATGTCTCAGTCTAGGTGCTTAGGTGACTGTAGTGGTTGGACTTTTAGTTTAAACTGTTAGTGGCATCTAACAACATTTCCACTGAGTTCAAGGCAACTCTATGAACAACAGATCTGAACCCTGTCCTATTCTGTGCCATCTTTATAATCTTTGACAAACTTAAGCTCATTGCTGCAGGCACTGTATCAATCCATCTCCTTGAGGGTCTTCCTTAGGATGTTATATGCCATCGAGTCACTTGAAACCCATAGCAACCCTATCTACAATTGCTCTGAACCCTGTCCTCTCTTGAACCAGTCTCGCTATCTCTGACACACCTACTCCCTTTACTCCAGTCACTATGTCAATCCATCTCATTCAGAGTCTTCCTCTCTTGTACTATCCCTCCACCCTTCCAAGCATGAGGTTCCTTTTCAAGGATTGGTCCTTTTTAGCACTATGCCCACCGTATGTGAAACGGAGCCTCAAAATCCTTGCCTCCAAGGAGCAGCTTGGTTTTATCCTCTCTAGGACAGACCTATTTGTTCTCTTGGCAGTCCATGGTCTCAGTCCAGGTTCAGTACTCTTCTCCAGCACCATGAGTCAAAGGCATTGATTCTTCTATCATCCTTAGTCATTGTCCAATTCTCTGATGCATAGCAAATAATTGCAAAGACAGTGGCCCAGATCAGGTGCACCTTAGTCTTCAGACTGACATCGTTGCTCTTCAGCAATCTGGAGAAGTCTCTGACTGCAGATTTTCCTAATGTATTTCATTTTGTGATTGATTTCTTGATTGCTGGTGCCAACAGTGTATCATCTGCATAGTGCAAGTTGAGAGTCTTCCTCCAATCCTGATTCCATGTTCATCCTCATAAAGTCCAGCCTCCCGAATGATCTGTTCCAAATATAAATTGAAAAAGTATGGGGATAGGATGCATCCCTGATGTACACCTTTACCGATTGTGAACCATGCAGTATTTACTTTAACTGTTCTTACACGACTGGTTCCTGGTCAAGTATAGGTTTCAATGAGCACAATCACATATTCTGGGATTCTCATTCTGCTCAAGGTTATCCACTATTTGTTGTGATCCACCTCATGAAATGCCTTTGCATAGTCAAATACACACATTCCATTGATTCTCTCTGCTTTCAGCCAAGATACATCTAACATTGGCTAGAATGTCCCTATTATGCTTTGGTGGATGCTAAATTATGACTACAAAATTACCAGCAGTTTTTTATAAATCTCTAATTTGAAAACTGTCCAGAAATAGGAGAAAGTTCCTACGTGTACTGCTTTTTTTTGCTTTTTTTTTTTTTTAACACAAACGATACACACAAGCTTTTGCTGCCCTTCGTGCTTACTGAGAGGGGCATAGTTGACAAAAACCCATAGGACATCCATTGTGATATTTAATATAGGCTAACATTCTACTTATCCAGACTTCTCAGTCACACAAAGGTCAGCTATGGGTCACTTCCCATTCAACAGTAAACAGTAACAATCATTGTCTTTTTAAATTGGATTTTTATTTGTCTTTGGGGGTTGGCACAAGGATGAGTAAATCACTACAACACTGTATGTAGTACAGATTATTAGCAATAAGACGTATCAAGAACAAACAAAAAACCAAGGCAGTTTATTGTAACTTGAATATGTTTTAAATAGGATGCTACTTGCATATATGTATATTTTTTTTTTTAGATTCTAATTTGTGCTGTAAAAAAGATTAATAAAAACGAAATTGAAAATTGGGGAAAACAGCGTAGGTAAATATGTTACCACAAAATTAATGCAGACATCTTACTTTCTTAAAGGATTTAATAACAGCCTAACATTTTGTGTTAATTTCTAGGTGTCCTTCTCTATGGACCTCCAGGTTGTGGTAAAACATTGATTGCTAAGGCTACAGCCAAAGAAGCAGGCTGTCGGTTTATTAACCTGCAGCCTTCAACACTGACTGATAAATGGTATGGAGAATCTCAGAAACTGGCTGCTGCAGTTTTTTCCCTTGCTATAAAGCTACAGCCTTCTATCATCTTTATAGATGAAATAGGTATGTTACTTTCTTTTCTTTCTTTAGATTTTTATTTTATTTTGTGTGTGTGCCATCAAATTGGATCTGACTGGTACAGGAGGAGATTGCCCCTCCTTTTCCGGCAGAGCATCTGGTGGGTTAGAACCACGTACCTCTGGGATTGCAGTGCATCTTCTTGCCACTAGGTCACCAGAGCTCCCCTATATGTTATTTTCTGTGGGAGGATATTTTAAAAATGGCATTTAGATAAACATTCAATTTCAACATTTACCATAGGTAATATTAAAGCAACAAGACATTTCCCTATTACAGAGTAAAATGAGCATCCGTGTTTGTGTTTCCTCATGCCTGAGTATACACACACTCACTAGTTGGCCCGGTGTTGATACTTAAATATAAAACTCTTAGGGTAGAGGTTGTCTCCATTTTACTAGTATCACCAGATCTTGAAGGTAGATAAAAATCTTTTTATTCCACCAGTGTAGAAACTGCAATTTGCTACATCCTCTGTAAGATTTTTCCCCCAAATACTCATTTTTTGTATTACAGATCACTGTATTTTAAAATCTTTTCATATATATATTACTTTGCTTACTATTGAATCTGAGCATTTTTAACAGGTTAAGTTAGTCATTTATGCTTTCTTTTTGGTTTTTTTTTTTAATTATTATTAAATTTTATTAGTTTCAATGAACATTCACAGGGATTCTGGGCTTTCACTCCTTCATTGCCGCACCATTCTCTCCACCCTCCTCCCCAGTTTGTTCTTCTTCCCCGCCATCCGAATGTCTGTTTTAATTGTCCAATTGCCACAGTGCTTGTCAAAGTCAGTTCTGATTAATCTCCTTTGTCAGTGTGTCCTTTGCCATTCCCTGGCACTCCTCCCTGAGAGAGACTTCACCCTGATTCATAAGGAAAAGGGGATGGCGTATTCTCTTAGCTACTTCCTGCTGAAAAGGGACGCTGTGGGTTTCAGGGTGAAGATCTTCTCTCACTACTCTAAAGGGCCCCTTTGGCAGTAGGAAACACATAGACTATTATGGAGATTGATTTTGGAATTTAGATGCACTCTTATTGATTGTGCTTGGCCGTGCATGTTCATATCCTTGAAGATGTATCATGGGGGTGTTGCAACCTAGAAGACACAAATTTGACTAACAAGTTATAAGTACATGAGTCAAAAATTATGGAAAAGTAAAAGAAAGGATTCTTTCATTGTTTTACAAACCCTCCCCAGGTCCCCTCCACCATGTAGCCCTCGCTCTAGACTCCTGTGATGACAGAAGTACCTAGTCATATATCTCTTTTAAACAGTTTTCTCCCTCCTGTTTCAGTGCAGTATACATTATTGAACCCATCTTACTCAGTCTCTCCCCAACCCCAAGGACAGTCCCATTCTAAAACATTGGTAAACCACAAGATCTAGAATATAGTCCAGTTCTAGTTGCACTTGATTGCATTTTCCTCGGTAATGCTTTTTGATACTTATTTTGATTGCAAATAATTTCTAGATTGGCCTGTCTTTGCACTTTATTTATGATGGGTTTTTTCCTTAACAGATTTCTATTTTGTCACATTTATCAGTATTTTTCCTTTATTCTTCACCTATATAGTATGAGATAAGAATCAAATTTCATTTTTCCATGTAGATAGCTAAGTTTTAAAACTGACCATTCTTTCCTATAAGTTGTGGTTCTTTTATCTTTAGTAGACTGTGTCTAAATTTTATGAATCATTATTATTTTTTAACTGTTCCTAATCAAAGAAATATTTCTTGTCGAATACTGAATCTGTTTATTTAACAGAGTATGTTTTTATAAATATTTCTAAAATATAGTGGTAATAATTGGACTGTATAGTAAGTGTAATTAATGTTACTGAATTAAGAATATAAAAATGATTAAAATTTTTTTGTTATATTTTACCAATAACTTTTTTTTTTTAATCAGTCCTAGAACAGGCAGTGATACTTACTGGCAGGGGAGACACCATGATGATGGTGTTTTTCCCAGGGTGAGACTTATCCATTGCACTCCAGATGTGCTGACCCCTACCATTTCCCCAAAGGTGGGAAACTTGACTTGTTAGTAGGGGACTGCGTTCATGTTTTCCCTAAAAAAGAATAGGCAATGAAAAGTAGTTCTTTACCCAGCTATGTTTAATCTCAGCCACTTGTGTAAGTAGTTAGCATTTCAGTTAGTTTTTCTGGAAAGTTTTTTCCCCCCTTTAAGATTATTGTGCATAAATCTTTCTGTATTAAGTTTTTTCACTTATTACAAGTTTAGGAATTTCCTCTTACATACTTGCATATTACATGGAATGTGAGTAAAAAAGCAAGCTGTGACTCTAGAATTAAGAGCACATGAGGTTGAGAAACTTCTATATAGACTAGAAATTTAGGCCCAAAGCATAAGGACTTTCCTGACATTTTGATTGCAGATAATTTCGAGATTGGCCTGTCTTTGCACAGCCTCAAGTACCAGATCCTTCACTTCTCTTATGTATGTTGCCATAAATACATATTTTAGAAAGGCAGTTAATATAGTAGATTGTAGTTGACTAAAATTATTTCAGGATCTACCAGAATGATCTCTGAAATGGCATACTTTACCTTTTCATAACTTTCTGCTTTTGATTAAATGATTTGAAGTTAACATGTAAATCATTCATTTCTTAATGTCTAAGATTAAGAGCATTTTCTTTCTAGATTCCTTTCTACGAAATCGTTCAAGTTCTGATCACGAAGCTACAGCCATGATGAAAGCTCAGTTCATGAGTCTCTGGGATGGGTTGGACACTGATCACAGCTGTCAGGTTTGTGAAAGGAATCTTCTTAAGCTTTGGGCAGTTGCTTTCAGTAGAAAATAGAGGGGATAACTTGCTAAATTGTTTTTAATGGGAATCCCAGAACACTTGATTGTGCTTATGCGAAATTTATACTTGGACCAGGAAGCAATTGTCAGAACAGAGCAAGGAAACACTGCATGGTTCAAAATTGGGAAGGTTGTGCGTCAAGGATACGTCCTATCTTCTATATCTTTTCAATCTATATGCAGAACAGATTATCCGGGAGGCTAGGCTGTGTGAGAAGTGTGGCATCAGGATTGGAGGTAGACTCATCAACAGTCTGCATTATGCAGATGACACAACCCTACTTCCTAAAACTGAGGAGGACCTGAAGAGCTTGCTGCAGAGGGTCAAGCCTTTTAATACGGATTGAAGTTCAACATTAAGAAAACACCACGTCAAGATTCTCGCCACTGGGCTGATTGGCGGCAGCATAATAGATGGTGAAGAGATTGAGATTGTTGACAGCTTCAGTTTGCTTAGCTCTACAATCAACACTCTTGGTTTCAGCAGCCAGAAAATAAAAAGACAAATTGTATTTGGAAAGTCTACTGTCCGAGACCTCTTCAAGGAACTGAGGAGCTATGATGTCAGTCTGGAGACTTTGCAATTACTTGCTATGCATCAGAAAGCTGGACAATGACTAGGGTTGATAGCAGAATTGATGCCTTTGAGCTTTGGTGCTGGAGAAGAGTATTGAATATACCAAGGACTGCTAGGAGGACAAACAAGTTCAACCTGGGGAGGGTGAAGCCGGGCTGCTCCTTGGAGGCAAGGATTCTGAAGCTTTGTCGGACATACTTTGGACATGTTGCAAGACGGGACCAGTCCTTGGAGAGGAAGGTCATGTTTGGGAGGGTGGACGGACAGCACAGGAGAGGAACACCCTCAATGAGATGGATTGATTCCATACCTGGGGTAATGGGGATAGGTGTATCAGAGACAATAAGATTGGCAAGGTTTGGAGCAGGTTTTAGGGCTGTTGTACATAGGGTCACTATGACTTGCACGTGACTTGAGGGCACATAGCAATAATAAAAACAAAGCTTTCATAATTCTATTTTATTCCTTACATGATAAAAATCTTAAAAAATATGGTTTGTTTAGACTTCATCGATACCCATTTTGAGGGCTATATGTTTTTTTAAAAAATGATTATATATGGATTGTCTTACTTCCAGGAACAAATCCAATCACGAGAGAAAATTAGTATAAAAACCTCATTGAACGTTTTGGAACAACTCTGCCAACAAAGAAGAAATGAGTAGTGACTGGGTGTTTTCACATGTTCTGTTCTTTTTTATTAGTTGCATAATTCTTGTGCCCCAAGTTTGTTTATTTTTATGATCTTTAACCTGTGTTTTGTCTAAGTCACTCATTTTGGTTTTTTCCCCATTCTAGTTAAACAGATTTTTCTGAATACTACCACTTAAAGTTTGATTTTAGAAAAGAGATTCAGGAAAACACTGTCCTAAATCTTAACTCCTAGATAGCATATATACATGTGCATGCGTGCACACCCAACTACAAAATTATCTTCCCAAATGTGTTCTGAGGACAGTTATATGTGTCCTTCCCGATCCAAGGGCTTCTTGTTTTAAAAGTTTTGGTTCAGTTGATTACAGGTTACTTAGGTATAATATATGTTTCAAATATATTCTCTAGATTTGTTTTTTCAATTTGTGTGTGCTTGTTTGCTAGTTGTCTTTTAACCTGTCAATTTTTGAGAGAGGAAGCTCTTTGCATTTAAAGATAGCTTTCTCTGAATTGGTTAGTGCGTGTTTCTTTCAGGTGCCTAGGATTACTACTAAGCTAGGGCTGATTTGAACTGCCTGCTATTTTCAGAGGAAGCTAAGACTTAGGTCTTTGTAGTCCTTTGAGAAAAATAAGATATTCTAGCTGTGATTTTCTCTTGCGCTAGTATAGTAGCCCTTTATTTAGATTTTCAGCTTCATATTTTCAGCATTCTCTATTCTAGGCTTTCTATCTTCTCCCTGAAAGACTGAAAGCCAAAACTGAGTTCCCCTGGTTTGACTTAGGCTTCAAAGAAAAAGCTTTATTGTTATTTCTGTATCTTTGAGTTCCTTGTTTAACTCAGTACTTGGCTTCTGAATACTCCATATTTACCAGGTAAATGATGTCTTTTTAAAGATACTTTAAGCATTTCATCCTGCACTATTGTTTCTTCTATTACATGCTGTCAGTGGAACTCCTAGAACTGAAGTCCTTTTTCACCCCATGAATTTCCTACTTGGATTTTATAGAAAGATTAAACATCAACTGTTGTGTGCTTTGTAATTGAATGGAAAAACTCAAATGTGGTAGAACTTTAGGTATGACTTTGGTCGTACCTAAATAGAAAGTTAGTTGTTCTTAGTTAAATTTTTCTTTTTTTTTAGTTAGTTAAATTTTTCTTAACCACATTTTCCTTCAACACCAATGGGTACAGTCAAGCCCAAGGTCATTCTTGACTGGCTATGAGCCATGAAATTAAAAAGTTTCCTAGTAGGAATGTGTGTATGTTTTATAGGGAGCTCTGGTGGCCTGTTGGGAAGAAGCTGTGCTGCAAATCCAGAAGGCACGCAGTTTGAGGCCACCAGCTGCTTCACAGGAGAAGGATGGGCAGTCTCTTTCCATGTGATTTACTGCCTCTGAAAACCTGCTGAAGGGTCAGCTATGGGTTGTTCCAACTCCACGGTACACAACAATAGCATGTATGTGTTGTATATCTCCACAAGGTCTAAAGTCTATCTCTGTTGAGAAGATTTTCCAAGATTTCACTTTTGTTCTTAAAGCATGAAAACATGCATCTTGACTAATAAATAATGCGATCTCATAAAAAAACTCTGGCCTCTTAGATAGCCAATACATGCTCCCATCTTTAGTTCTTTACATGGCTACATTGTAAGAAGTTACTTCTGTCTTGGCTCAGTTTAAACATAAGCTTCACTACTACCTTTTGGCAAACTTGAAATTAATTTTCTGGAGACTTTTTATTTTGTTATAATTTTCTACTGTGACATGTATTTACTTTTTTACTACAATGTGTAAGGATCTTTTCAGTCTACCAATTTGTCTGAACCACTTTACTCTCAAGAAAATTAACCACATGAAAATTAGGTCCTCTTTCTATATCACCTTTTTGAAAGTTCAGCCTTCTTATGAGTAAATTGTTCTTTTCTTGGTTGGAGAATAAAGCTAACCGTAGGTAAACTTGTTTTTGTTGTATGTTGTCTTTGAGTTGAGTGCAGCATATAGAGACCCTGAACGGATCAGAACCCCCATCTTATCCTGTACCATCCTTATCATCTCTGACACACTGGAGCCCATTGCTCCGTCACTGTGTCACTCAGTCTTTTTGAGGGTCTTCTCTTTCACTCATCTCCACCTTTCCAAGCATGATGTCCCTTCCCAAGGAATAGCCTCTCCTAACATGCTTACCACAAAGTGTGTGAGATGAAGCTTCATCATCCTTGCTGAGTGCCATGAGTCATACTAAACTCGACAACACATAACAACAGCCGTACAAAGAATGTTGATTGTGGATCCAGGTAAGATGAAATCATTGGTGATTTCCTCCATCTATCACGATGTTGCCTGTCAACTCAGTGGTAAGCAGTTTTGACTTCTTGATGTTGAAATATAATCCGTATTGAAGACTGGTTTTTTAAAGCCCTGTAGTGTTCTCTTGCTCTGTTCGAACAGCAGCCTCTTGGTCTAGGTTTCATAGGTGGCACTAGTAGAAACAATCCCTATTAGTGATTGAGTTTGCTATATCTTATCATTGGAGGTACTTATTTACAAGTTACCAAAGACTTGTAAGTGATCCTAAGCAAAGTAATCTAGGCAATGATAGTACTAATAACTAGTCAACAATTGTAGATTCTTTCACTGAAAAGATAGTGGCATAAAAAGAAGCAGCCTTGTTTACATTGTTTCCTGTGAAAGTTAAAGTTGTACTTCAGATATATTTATTTTATGTTAAAGATTTAAATAAGCTCTAATTTAACATCTGATATCTAAAAGATTCATTAATTTTGGCTGGCAAAGTATGAAAAAAACTCACTGCCATTGTATTGATTCTGACTCATCTTGACCCTCACTGGACTCCTAAGTTGTTTTAATATGAGTCAAACTGCCTGACTTTTGGTTAACAACACAACGTGTGTAGGACTGCACCACCAGATCTCCTGAAGTATGAACTAGTAAGAAACACTGTTTTCAGGTTTTTATTTTAGATTATTGGCAAAAAGAAGTTTTAAGTATATATGTCCATGTAAAGATAATCTGTGTTGGCCTTTTAAAAACATTCTTTAACATTTCCTTTTGTTAAATGGGTCACTCTTAAATGTTTTTTTTTTTTTGCTATGCTGTACATAACGATTGTCACCATGTTCCACTGTATTTGAATTTGATGATAGTGTTCCTAGCATTCCATTGTACAAATTTGACTCGTAGCAACCCCATGTCAGAGGAGAGACTTGCCACTAAGGCTTTCTGTAAGCTGATTGCCAGATCTGTCTCCTGAGGAGTCACTAGGTGGATTCAAACTGCCAACCGCCTGGTTAGTAGCTGAGTATTTAACTCTTCTATCACCACAGCTCTTTCTACACTGTATTTTCAGTTTTCTTTTAGCTCATCTGTATACTTAACAGTTTTTTAAAATGAGATTTATTTTACATGATTTTTGCTTTGTTACCCCCAATATTGCCCGTCACAGTGTCTTTTGTGATTTTTATACATTGAAATATGTGGAGTCTTTAACAAGATTCTGTATCAGTTTGCATCTCTCCCAATGCTTAATATTCTCAAAATGTTATTTATACTTATTTTTGTCTCATACAGTTATTTAGCCCCTTTTAAAGTTTATTTTACATGTAATAGAAGGTTTTTCTTTTCTTTTTGGTTAAATTTATAACAGTAGTAAAAAAAATAAATTTTAAAAATAGATGAGAGCATTAATAGCTTGATTTTTAGGACCATATAACCCAAAATAGAAAATTTGCTCTGTTATGTAACTGTTAGTGCCCAAATTTCTATTTGTATTTATAGTGTTTTGCCTCTAGGTGGCAACCTTCCACAGTTGACTGAAGTCATTTGGCTCAAGACTCTTGAATAACTTTAAATGTAAGAAGTAAAAGTAGAATAGTCAGAATTATCTCAAATCTCAAGTCAAAATATACAATATATTGTAAGCAAACCAGTATAAGATTTTATTTTATTTATTTTATAAGATTTTATTTTTAAAAAATACATAAAACACACTAACATTAGAGAAACTTAAGTTTGTTTTGTCAGCATGAGTACAACTTACAGGGGCAGGTCTGAGCCAGAATGTCAATAAATTATATTTGGATATCATGTGTATGCTTTTTTTTTTTATTAAGGTTATTCTGGAATATTGGCAAAATAATATTGAAGTAATAATTCCAAAATAATATGGAAATTAATTTTGCATGTCATTGCTTACTGATGTTGATTTAATTGACAACCATGCTTCGAAACACATTTTTTTTTCTGCTATAGCCGTCATTTGTGGCATGTTAAAAATAGATTTTGTTTTCACCTCCACGTCTTTTGTAATTAAATGATGTAGACTCAGGAGAAGACAGATAACCCTTTTTTTTCCCCACCTAACATTTTCTTTTGCCCTTGTTTAAAATTGGAATGTTTTAGGCTTTATTTACCATTAATTATCTCCAGTGGCTTATGGTGCTCTAACATTAATGTAATATCAAGAAACAATATAAAATAGATTTCTCCTATTCCCAGAATCCTCAGGTCTAAGGATAAATTATTTAATATTGTTAATAAAAGTCTTGATGTATACCCCATATATACACCTAGACTGTGTTCTTATACTGTAGTATAAGTGGGATGCAGTCATTCTACTTACTTTCATTAAATGATCTTATTGTGCAAAACAGGTAAAGGATTTTCATTTTTGTAGTGATAGTAATTGGAAATGAGTAGTGCATATTTCCAGTCACTAGATAGCCTGTGAGATCCTTCAGTCTTTTTCAGCTTTGTTTTTATTAGATCCATTAGAATTAACTTCAATTTCTATCAAAGATTTATGTAATAACAGATTGAAACACATTTCTTATCAAGAATTTGAACTTTACACTTCCTAAAATTGTAATTTAATTTTTTGAAGTTTTTTTTTAAATTTAAATTTCCTAATGTAATTTCCAGTGATAACAACCTCAAAGGAAAATAATTATATTGAATACGTTTGAATTCTTTATATATTTAGGTCATAGTGATGGGAGCCACAAATCGTCCTCAGGATCTAGACTCTGCTATAATGAGAAGAATGCCTACAAGGTTTCATATCAACCAACCGGTAGGTGGTCTTGAGTGAGATGATAAAATGAGTTAAATATTCATCTTTTTTTTTTCAGTCTTTCCTTGTAATAACATCTAATAACAAAGAGAGGAATTTCTCCTTCCCCCCAGTTGTTCTAGGATTTACTCTCTGTAACAACCAAAAAAGAGTAGGGTAGGAATCACAATTGTGTTTTGTTTGTGTTTTCTCAAAGTGTCTAATTACTCCAAGTTTGCCTGGTGATTTTAGTGATTATTGTCTGATAAGATCTTTAACACCAAATCCATAATTTTAGTTTAGCTTAGAAAGTAATTGAAGGAATGAGATTAACAAATTATTCTGTTCTGAATGTTGGACTTTTTAAATAACTGGAATTCATAGATTACTTACTAACAATTAAAAACTCCTTCCCTCTGATAATATTGAGCCAGTAGCTAAGCTGTATTTGTGAAGATTATTAATAACCACTGACTGCCAAAAGAACAGGCTGTCTTTGAAGAAGTGTAACCAGAGTGCAGCTTAGAACCAGACAGAAAAGGACATCATACTTGGAGAAATACAGTCAGCCAGAAGGAAACCTTCAGTGAGATGGACTGATAGGCTGCAACAATGTTGGCATAGTTTCTCTTAGCACCTGACAATAAGAAAGTATTTTTAAAAGCTGTTGTCAGAATTGATTGTCACTGCATCTGTCATACTGTGATGGTTTCCCATTTTGCTGTGATGATATTTGCATGTTGCTCTGATTACACATACCAGCAGGATTACCCATGCCAGACAGGTTCTAGTTGAACTTCCAGACTAAGACAGGTTTGGTGTTCTGCTTCTGAAAATAAGCCATGGAGAACCTAATGGATCACACAGAGCATTGTGTGTTATGCCATCAGAAGGACTGAGTTGCTAAAGCGTCATGCTGGCTGAAAAGCAAGTTTAGCAAGCGTGTGAGAGATCCAAGGAGAGTTGGTTTGGTGCAGTAGCCACAGGGATGGACTTAATCCTGCAGGCTAAGCACTTAGAGTGTTTCCTTCTGTATCCACGTAAAGCCACTGGACCTATTGGAACTGACTCATAGCTGACCCCCCAGCAGCTTTTCAGAGGCAATAAATCTCACAATAGTTGATTGCTCATCTTTCTCCCACAGAGCAGCTGGCAGATTTGAACCATGTGTCTTTGGATTGACGGTGCAAGTCCTTACCCTTATAGGCCAGTAGAACTCCCTAAGTTCAATGAATGGGAGTCATTGTGAGGGTCAGCTGTGAGTTGGTTCCGACTTAATGGTACCCAAGAACAACGACAAGGATTATAGGCTTTGTAACTGACAGAGGCTTTGGTGGTTCTAGGGTTATGCATGTGCTTAGCCATTTATTGGAAAATTGACCTGATAAATCAGTGAAAATATTTTTTTAATAATATGCCTGATTGTTACTGAGCCTTAATAATGTGTTAGACACATGCTAGGGCTCTGTGAATGGTACATAGACCCTAATCCTCAAAGAAACAGAAAATGGGGCAATAAAACACATAAATAATGTAAAATGTCCTTTGAAAGGAGATATTTAAAGAATTGTGTGAGCCTGAGGTGGTGATACAGTAATTCTCTCTGAGGAATCTGAAATTTACAGAATCCAACTGAACCTTGAAGAGGATAGTGGCAATTTGAGCAAATGAGGAAAGGAAAGGGTTTCCTGATTGGATGAAAGAAAATGGGATAGAAGTTTGTGCTTCTTAATGAGTTCTGGGAGTAGTTCAGTTGGGACACTGAAGAAAATAGATAGGGAGGAGACTGAAAAGGTATGCTGCACATAAGTGTTTAGATTTTATCTTGTAAGAAGCTATTGTCAGGGCATTTTGAAAGAAAATTCTGTTTAGTCAGTAACTCTTAATAAGACAGATTACTAATGTCTGCTACTGGTCCAATAGAAAATGCTTTGATATGTAGTAGAATAGAACATAGGAGACAGTTGAAAGGAAATGTAGTCTTTATTAAATTTGTAGTTTTCATATGTTAAATGTGCAAGTCAGTTTTAATGTTAAATGTGTGGGTTATAAAAAATAGGGTACGTTTCATCAGATTTGTTAGAAATTCGCATACTGCCACCATAGAAACTGGAATTTTGTAGCATCTTTTGATTTTTTTTTTAGTAAAAATGCACATTATGCAATATATTTATTGTTGTTTAATAACTGTTGTACAACTTCCTCCAAATGAAACATTTATCAACAAATGGTAGTTATTGATGATCATACAAAAAAGTTAGCATTCATTGCTTAACACAGTTGAATTACAGGAACAGCAGGTTCTGTTCAGATAGTTTGACCTGATATTTACTAACCCAACTCAGCTTTGTTGATAACTGAGAATAAGGTGGAGTAATGCTATGATAATTTTCAAAAGCAATTACATTTACTACCTATATGTGTAAAATATTCTATAAAATGAGTAACATTTCTCTGTTATAATAATATAATTTATCACTGGAGGAAAACTTATAAATAATATGAATAAATGTATTGTAAAACCAAGTATTAATATAAATTAGTGAGTATGAAGGCTATTGTTGAAATAGATGGCAATGAAAGGGTAATACTGCCATCTCTTCTAATTCATCCTGAAAATCTTGCCTGTAAGTAGTTTTCAGAAATAAATTAAGAAAAGTTGGTTGATGTAGTCATTCTGTAAATTTTTTTTCCATTTGGTTTCTTTTTTATCATGGTAAAAGTATGTATAACAAAACATATACCAACTCTTAAATATGCGTTCTAAAGCATATGCCAGCAGACATTTTTCCATGTGTATGTCAGTGACGTTGGTTGTTTTCTTCAGGTACAACCGACCTCCCTGTACTTTTGAATCATTCTCTCACTGTTAGCACAAGTTCAGTATTCCCTAAGCAAAAATTCCCTCTTCTCTTGCTACCCTTATTACCACCAGTAATCTCTTGACCTCTGTATATTTGCTTGTATTAGATCATACAGAAATTGTCCATTTATGATTAACTTTTTTTATCCCCCCTCAGCATGATGACTTAAGGTTCATCTGTACTGTGCCGTGGCATATATCCGGACTTTAATTTTTACTATTTCTGAGCTGTTTGACTTTTATCAGTTAATTCATAGCCAATGCCTGCTGGTTGTCTCCCTTTCTTTCATTTTTAAAAATCATCTTGTAATTACTTCTGTACACATGGTAACCGTTCACGGTCATGTTATATCTCAGTCGTGCTCAGTACTGAGGATGCTTAGTGACAGGGAATTCAATAAGAAAAGTACAAATTAGAGACTAGACTCTAGATCTTAGATTGATTCACAGTTACCTTTGTTGTGGTGGTAATTGTTAGGTGTCTTTGAGTCAGTTGTAACTCAGTGACCCTGTGAGTAACAGACAGATCTGAACCTTACCCTATCTGGTGCCATGCTCATATCTGGTCTGTTGATACAGTCAACTATGTCAATCCTACCTTTAGGAGAGGAGAAATACTGGACAAACTATTTGATCCATACTTGTCTTTTTTCCAAAAACTAATTGGGAATTATCTTCTTTTTTTAGGCTCTAAAACAGAGAGAAGCAATCCTGAAACTGATCTTGAAAAACGAAAATGTAAGTAGAAAATTACAGAACTTTCCTCCATCCTACAAATACATTTGTGCTCATAAATCATTTAGAGAGAAATTAAAAGAAACCAGAAAATAATGTAGCTTTGAATGTCTCATAAATTGGTGTAAAACTTTTGTCCTGTCATAGAATTCAGCAACTGTGTTCAAATATTAGTATATTTGAACTCAATAGAAAAATCTTCACGTTTCTAAAAACCTGTATTTTTAAACTAAAAATGAAAATCTTTAATATTTTCCAGGCTTTTCTCAGGTTATATGAAATGTTTACTGTTACAGAGTGTCTTGCATTCAGTCACTCCATCATACATTTGTGTTCTGTGACATTAATTATAAGACCCACATTGTGCAGTACTCCCCACTATCTCTGTGCAGTTCCTTTTTCCATTCTTCTGAATTTCCAACCTCTTCTTCCTTCAAGTTTTAAGTATTCGTGCTTATTAGAACTTGACATCCTTGTTATGTGCTTCACTTGCCACCAGATTTCCTTATTATTTTTAAGTATAATTTTTCTTAATGATTTCATCTTACTCAAGAAAAAGCAAATGTCAGTATTTTGGGTGAGTCATCATTGGTATAAAAATTAACTTAGAGAATTAAAATACTATTTGATACTGCATTTTACTGCCCAAAAATATGTGTTTGTATCTTCTTGGTATCTTTTGTCAGTGTTTAATGATTTGATTTTTTAGATCTGTGAAAAGAACATACATGCTAAAACTAGTGAAATTTTTTTTTATTTCCATCGTGACAAATAATGATAATTGGATATGTAATGTCTAAACATTTATTATTAAAAAAACCCCAGAAACAGAAGATCTTTCGTTTTACTTTCCATATTTTTCTATTTTTCCCAGTTTTTATACTTTCCATATTTTAATGACATTTTTAACTTTCTTTAATCTGAAATGTAGTTGGAAGTATTCTTTACAGATTATTTTTCTTTCTATGTGTGTTTGTTTGTCTAAGGTGGATAGACACGTAGACCTGCTTGAAGTTGCTCAAGAAACGGATGGCTTTTCAGGAAGTGATTTAAAAGAGATGTGTCGAGATGCGGCCCTCCTCTGTGTCAGGGAATATGTTAATTCTACAGCAGAAGAAAGGTATGTGTGCTTAGAGGTGGTCTCTAATATTTTTTAAGAGTTTTAGAAAATTTAGGTTAGTATTTTTGGGGTTTTTTCTTTATATTAAATTTTGCTTTTCAGGAGCAATCCTTATAAAAATAACAAGTATTAAAAAAAACAAGTAGTATGAATTAGCATCTTTTCAACTTTACCATTTTTTCCTGAAAGAGACTTTTTGAAAATGAGTTCCCATTTTAAAAAAATAAGGAGAATAGGATACAGTCTGTGATATAGGAGTACAAATTTAAAAATTTCCACTAATTACCAATACAGCATCATAAGGAAACTGACAGAAAACTAGGTTTGATAATTTCTACTAAAAACCCCAGACTTATCTTGCTTTACCAACGAAATTTCATTTTTATGAGTATGTTGTTTTCCAGAAATTGCTTGTGTATATGCAGAACAGATTATCCGGGAGGCTGGGCTTTGTGAGAAATGTGGCATCAGGTTTGGAGGAAGACTCATCAACAATCTGCATTATGTAGATGACACAAACCTTGCTGAAACTGAGGAGGACCTGAAGCGCTTGCTGTAGAGGGTCAAGGACTGCAGCCTTCAGTATGGATTGAAGCTCAACATCAAGAAAACAAAGATTCTCATCACTGGGCTGATTGACAGCATCATGATAGGTGGAAGAGATTGAGATTGTTGACAGCTTCAGTTTGCTTGGCTCTATAACCAACACTTGGTACCAGCAGCCAGGAAATTAAAAGAAAAATGGCATTGGGAAAGTCTGCTGTCAGGGACCTCTCCAGAGTACTAAAGAGCAACGATGTCAGTCTGGAGACTAAGGTGTTCCTGATACAGGCCATGGTCTTTGCAGTTATTTGCTATGCATGAAAAATCTGGACAGTGACTGGGGATGATAGAAGGAGAATTGGTGCCTTTGAGCTGTGGTGTTGGAGAACAGTATTGAGTATACCATGGACTGTCAGAACAAACAATTTCATCTTGGAAAAGGTGAAGCCAAGCTGCTCCTTGGAGCAAACATTCTGAATCTTCATCTGACATACTTTGGACATGTTGCAAGGTGGGACCAGTCCTTGGAAAGGGACGTCATGCTTGGGAGGGTGGAGGGACAGCGCCGGAGAGAAAGACCATCAATGAGATAGATTGATTTCAGTGACTCAGGTAATGGGGGTAGGTGTATCAGAGACAATAAGATTGGCAGAAGATAGAGCAGGGTTTAAGGCTGTTGTACATTGAGTCACTATGAGTTGCAGGTGACTCAACAGCACATAACAACAACATGTGAAAAGATTCAAGGACCATAGTTTAACCTGTACATAATGTATTTACTAAACAAACAAACCACTCCTCAGTGTACCAGTGTCAGATACTGTGAGCTTGAGGAAGATAACTTTGTATCAATTTTTTCCAAATAAAGGTATTAGTAAACTGGAGTAGGTTGATTAGCCCTGATGACCTGTTAAGGAAGTTTGTCCAGGTCACTTGCCCTGACTTGATACAACACTACATTTCTAAATAGATTTTCAAGATGTTAGACTTGTAATAGACAACTTTTTTGACTCCAAGCAAACTTGTGAACTTTAAGGACTTATGTTGAAACATCTTCAACTCTTCTAGCTTTTTCAGTCTCCTGCAACTCGTTGATGGTTTTGCTTTAAATGACCCTGATTAAAGTTGATATTAATATTCACAGATATGCATGAGAATGCCTCTGTCAACCAGTAGATAATGGGCCCTGGCTCTGTACTTCATTAGACCTTAGACTCCGTTGTGCAGATACTCGCTTCAGTCATTTGATTTTAGATTAGTTGTGTGATTCTAGCAGATTTGGAGTACATTTTACCTCAACAGCCAAAATAGTCTACCCGGTAAAGGTTTTTGGTGGGTTGATTTTTTTGTTTTGGGGTTTTTTTTTTAAGGATAAAGAGATGAGAGAAGAAAAAGTATCTAAGTAAGTTTTCCCTAATTAGCCTAATAATGAAAAAAATCCCACTTTTCTGCTCTCCTGAAAACCCTGGAAAGATGAAAAGTCTGACTTAATAAATTAAGATTATCCTAACTTTTGCCCTGGAATTTTTTTTTCCCTATTCCACCTTCTATTATATCCACCGTTCTTTCAGATTTTCAAAACTTTAAATCTTTATGAGAGGAGACTACCCACTTTTCTCCTTAGAGTGCCTTGTGTTCTTGAACCAGTGACAGAGTGGGTTAGAACTAACCTTTTGTACACTCATTGCTAGAGCGCATTATATATTAATACAGGATTTTGCTTAGTTTTTTAAAACAACTTATAATTGACCTTCCATTGGGTATCTGAGGCCTTAAATCCCACGAGAGGAAATTGTTCCTCTTTCGCCCTGAAAGTCACTGATGGATTTATGGTCCCTGAGAGTCACAGCCTTTGGGTTAGCAGACAAAACTTCCAAAGCTTCCTTGACTTAAATTAGTTGGTTTGTATTAAACCAGCTAAGTTGGTGAAAATTTTCTTTTCAATTCATTGAAAGTTAAACATGACTTTCTTTGAAGATGGCACCATTGGGTCTGGAGATGTAGGTCACCAGTGGAGCACGGTTGCTCACGTGCCGCGGCTTTCTGGTTTGTGGCTCATTACCGGTACCAAGTGAAGATGGCACCATAAATGAAGAAGGAAGTCCCTGTCCCCCTAAAACTGAAGCCAAAGCAAAGATGGTGAAGGCTAGGAAAGCAGTCCTGAAGTGCATCCACAACCACTAAAAAAGTTCTGCATGATATACCCAGGTATACCCAGAAGAGCACCCCAGGTAGAAACAAGCTTGACCCCTATGCCATCATCAAGTTTCTCCTGACCACTATCATCCATGAAGAAGATAGAAGATAACACACATGTTCATTGTGGATGTGAAGACCAACAAGTCAAACAAGCTGTAGAGAATCTCTGTGATACCAGTGTGGCCAGTGTTACCACCTTGTTTAGGCCTGAGATGGAAAGAAGGCCTTTGTTTGATTTGTTCCTGACTGTAATGCTTTGGATGTTGCCAACAAAATTGGGATCATTTAACTGAGTTCAGCTGGCTAATTATAAGTACAAATTTAAAAAAAAAAAAAAGTTAAACATAAATGTGAATGTATGCCTAGGAATTCTGTTTTTAAATTCCAGTTTTCAGAGAATAACTTGATTTCTTACCTGAAGTTAATATTCCCATTTGTATGAGCCATCAGTAGTTACCATATCGCTAAGACGTTTCCTAGGAACAAATCGTCCAACCTTTTTCCTTCAGTCACTGAGTGAGTTAGAACTTCCCTTTTGGTTAGCAGCTATGTGCTTAATCATTGTACCACCAAAACCCCTTGTGTTGATTGTTGTTGTGTACTGTTGTGTCTCAGAACAAACCAGTAGCTGAACCTCCAGTGGGTTTTGAGAGGCAGTTAATCGCATAGGAGATTGATTGCCTATCCTTCTGTGGATTTGAACTGGTTGCCTTTGAGATTGTAGTGCAGCTTCTTACCACTAGGCCACCAGAGCTCCCTGTTTAAGCTTGACTTACATCAGCATAAATTCCTGGCTTATTTGAAGCATTTATTTTGGTTTAGTTTGGTTCTTGCCTAAGAAAAAGTCTTTGTTACACCCTTTTGTATTGTTGGAAAGCATGTGTTTTTTTTACTCCAAATATTTTTTTCAAATCTTAGTAAAATTCCATCTTTATGAAATTCTTTAAATAATTGATGGGTTTGTTTACATTTTAGCCATGATGAAGATGAAATTCGGCCTGTGCAACAGCAGGACCTGCATCGGGCTATTGAAAAGATGAAGAAGTCAAAGGATGCAGCATTTCAGAATGTTTTAACACACGTTTGTTTAGATTAAGAGTAAAGATCATTTGTCTGTAGTCAGTGTGATCTAGTTTGGTGTGCCCTGTTAGGGAGACAGAGAGGAAGGAGGAGTGTTCTTTACACAGTGGGAGAGTTAAAATGCTTACGCACTGGTTTTATACTCTGATGAATTCTAAGTTATTGGGATGTAGTTGTTACACAAGCGGTATTACTGTTTGTCAGAAATCATGAGGTGGAACAATTTAATCCAGCCTGAGTATGTGTGCTTGTCTTTGACTTCTTTAGCCATATGTTATTGCAGCCTTATAGCAGCTAAGCTGGTCTTAAAGGATTTGTGGGTCATCAGTGAGAAGTGGGGATGTAGTTAAGTGCTGGTTCAATAGATAGGTGAGTGTGTATGTGTGTGCGCGCGTGCGTGCGTGTGTATTAAATGTATATATTCACACATTTTATATTGACATTCTGAAGATATGTTTGAATACAGAAACTTTTTTTTACCCCAACACTGAATCAGAAGTACTAAATAGTATATAGAAAAATTAAGATTTAAAGTTACATCTGAAAGGTGGTGATTCAGCCATTTCCCAGTTACCATTTGTTGCAGTCTTTTCTTAGTTGAGAATTTTTCTGTCTTTGCTTGATTAGTTGGAGTCAGCCTCTTCTGACTCAAATATTTATATTTGACTCAATTATTATGGTTGTCAGGATAAGCAAATAAAAAATACTTGTTTAATGATCAACATTGGGTTGTTGTCACACAGTCCTTTGATAAATGCTGATGTCACCTTTTTCTCTAAGCACCTTGAATAGAAACATTTAAAAAAAATTAAATTCACATAATTGAAGGTAGACCTTTTGAAAGAATGGGTTTTGAAAGTAATCAATGTCTTCCAGCATGTTAATAACATCCTGCCTCTCTTCAGCTCTTGTAATGATGGGTATTCTTAACCTTATTTTAAGGTGTGTTTTCTTTAATTATTTTAAAAATAATTTCATCATCAACAAAAATTGTACTTTAAAACAAGTAGCTGTTGCTCAAAACATTGCTAAAATCACTCACTTTGTAACTTTATTTTTTAAATTTTTCTTAGCTTTTTATAAATTGTGCTTTCCTTTGTTCCTATGTAAACTACATAGAAACACTTTGTCTGAAACTGTGTTAATCAGAATTCTCTTATAGACATAAATGCAAGAAAAAAGGGTACACACAATCATGAGATGCCATCAGAAAGACCAAGTAATGTTTCATATATTTTATATTTCTTTGAAAATTCAGTCTATGTCTAAGTTATTGAATTCATTTACCTGAAGTTTTTCTGGATAGTTTGTTATTTGATTATACAGAGGCGGGGCAAAGACTGCAGGAGAACACTTAGGATAACAAAAAAGCTGGTTATGAAAAATTGTAAAAATACTGAAAAATTCTAATACACAACATCAAAAGGTACCAAAAAAGTTTGTGTCCATTTTTAATTACAATGCTGTACTATTTACTTTGTAAATGTGTAATAAAGGGATCCCTCTTTATTGATTTTTCTCCACTTAACTCTTTTGTGTCTTTCAGTTATTTCGCTTTTTTTTCTGGTAGCATAATTCACTTTTTTTTTTAAGCTAGTAGCATAATTATGAAAATAAGATTCTAGACTCAGAACCAACTTGTAGCCGATCATCCAGTGATTTCTTAGACTATAAATCACACAGGAGGAGATGGTCCTTCTTTCTCATCTGAGCTGCTAGTGCCCCTCAATTGCTCTTCCTCATGTCCATTCTGTGTAGCTTCTCTTAAATTTTTTGTAAATATAATGATGCACTTAAGATAGAAAAATAATAGCAGCATCAAGTCATCTTTAGACCTAAAGTAACTGAGGAAAGCATTATTACACGATTTCGAAGTACTTTAGGTAATTTAGGTAGGCTGTCCTGTGGACATTTATTGCTCAAGTGTTGTTTGATTCTAGGTTCTGAATAGTTTTTCGGGGGAGGGCGGAGCGATGAGTATCCAGAAACTGCCTGAGTTTAAATCCACACTCCTCATCTGTTTATCATTTACAACCAGTTACGTTTTGAATAGTTTACCATTTCTTTGAGTCTCTAAAATGACAATTTGGATGTCAGCCCTTTACGTTTATGTATAAAGTTAAGCTATATGTAAGAAAATCAGTACAGTGTGGATACAAAACTGCTCCAGTGTTCAGTATCATTATTCTTAAGAGTAGTATTACTTTTTACATACTGATGTACATATACGATGATCAGGCTTGAATCTGTGAACATTCTCCATACTTAAGCCATTTCCATAATCCCTGGGCCAGTTGAGATTGACAGAATCAACTATGTGAAGTTTGTACAAAAGCCACCTTATTTCTAAGACTTCTGCGAACTCTGATAATGCTTTGCAAACTATTCCAAGCCCTTTTTAGAGCTTAATAAAACAGAATTCACGTTACTGTAGTAACATTTCTTGTATTCCAAGCCCTTTTTAGAGCTTAATAAGAGAATTCACATTAACCTTAGAATCTCCTTTCTATCCTAGTTTTAGTTCCACTCCTTGGCCTACAGGTACATGTAGAATTCATGCCATCAGTATATTGATTAGCAAATTTGGATATTCTCTATGAACCAAATGTTTATATGGAAGTGAACGTGAGCGATGGTTTAGCTATGACTTAATCAGTTTGGTGCTAGATGAGGAGGTCTTAAGCCTTGTTTATTCCTGTATAAAAGTGGCCATATCACCACCTCAGTAGGATCTCCCCACCCCAAACATGTTTATGAACAAATGTTTCAACTTTGGGAAGGGCAAGCTAAAATACATTGCATGTCGTATATTTTAAATTTTTCACTTTAGCTTCTCTTAAATTCAAAAGATGAATGAAATGCTGATGTTGTTGTTATGTGCCGTCGAGTCGTTTGCGACTCATAGTGACCCCATGTATATCTGAGACTATTTCCTGCACAACTAAAACTTCAGTATCAACTGGATGCCTCAAATAAAGCCCAGAATCATTAACACGTTGCCGCAAATGACATCGAAGGGGGGGAAAATGTGTTTTTAAGCATGGTCATCAATTTCTAGTGTACGGCAACATGTAAATACATTTGGAGCTGATAGCGCTCAGATGGCTAGAATGGTAACAGTGTGCCAACTTGTCTAGTTTATGGTGCTTAGTTTGATCAAATGCTCTACTCGATGTGGTTAAAATGGTATTTTGTAGGTAACATTTACCATTAGTGACTTTTCATATAAAGGAGATTTCTAGGCAATGTGGTACGCCTCATCCAAAAAGTTGCAGATGTGTGCTGTATTGATTCTGTTTTTTTTCTAGAGAGTGCAGACTGATGCAGGAATCTTGATAATTTAAAAAAAAAAAAGACAAATTATCACAGCTGGAAGCTCAGCTTCTTAATCTTTTCAAAAGTCAAAGTTTTTTTCATGTATATATGAGAAAAATAATGTTTACACCATCTTGTTCACCAGGTCATGAATTTGAATAGTATTAAATTGATCTAACAGATTTGACTGAAGTATCTTAGGCATGTATACTGTGGATGCCTGATGCAAAGGAGGTTGAACCTGCAAGAAAATATTTAATAATGTGAGTAAATTGGAAAGCATCTTCAGTAATGTTGGTATGTTAAGTGCTTTTGAGTTGACTGTGACTCATAGCTACCCTGTGCGTAATAGCTCTGAACTGCTCTATCCTGAACACTATCTGAACGCCTACCCTCATTACCCCAGTTATTATGTCAATCCCTTTCTAAGACATCTCTTCTCTTGGCAGTCCGTGGTATGTTGCGTACTCTTCTCTAGCACCACAACTCTTCTGTCATCTTTGGTCATTGTCCAGCTCTCTGATGTATAGCAAGTAATTGCAAAGTTCATGGCCTAGATCAGGCACGTCTTAGTCTTTAACTGAGATCATTGTTCTTCAGCACTCCAGGAGAGGTCCCTGACAAAAACATCTAATTTTCCTAATGGAATTCATCTTGAATTCTTGATTGCTGATGCCAAGAGTATTGATTGTGTAGCCTAGCAAGTGGAAATTGTTAATCTCAGTCCCTTCTCCATCTATCATGATACTGACAATTGGCTCAGGAGTTGGAATCTTTGTTTTCTTGATAGGGAGCTTCAATCCATATTGCAAACTACAGTCCTTAACCCCCTGCAGCAAATACTTCAGGCCCTCCTCGGTTTCAGCAAGCAAGGTTGTGTCATCTGTACAAAGCAAGTTTTCAATGAGTTTTCCTTTAATACTTGATGCCACATTCATCATCATAAAGACCAGCCTCTTGAATGATCTATTGCTCATACAGATTGAAAAGGTATGGAAACAGGATGCAACCCTTACACACTTTCCTGATTGTAAGCCATGCCTTACTCTTTTCTGATGACTTCTTCCTTATCCAAGTGTAGGTTTTGCATGAACACAATCTGGTGTTCAGGGATTCCCATTCTTCTCAATGTTGGTTCTAAGAATATAGTTGATGAGAGACGTACAGTTTCTGAGAAATAGAACTGGTAAGAGTTCATTGCAAAAACACTGAATGGCACGTGTACTCTGAACATGCAGAAATTTGCTTAAAATATAATGTCACATTGATACCACCTCAAAAGGGTTGTGGAATGTATAAAGGACACAAGCTTGTAAATTGCCACACAACCCACCAAACTACAGCCACATTCCACTTCTAGGAATATACCCCAAGGACATTAGAGCAGAGGCACAAAGATTTATACACCAGTGTTCATGGTAGCGTTTTTCACAATTGCAGGAACATGGAAAGAGCCTACATGTCCAACCACAATTGAAAGGATTGAGAAATTGTGCATTCACATAATGGAATACTATGCAGCACTCAGGAGCAGCTATTTCTGAAAATTACTACATGGCAAAGACTGGGGGGCATTAAGCTGAGTGAACTAACTCGATCTCATAAGGATAAATACTGCATAGGGCCATTAGTGTAAAAATAGAAGGATGACTAATAAAACACAGGGATCCAAGGGGAGAAGATGTGGGAACAGGGGTCATGGTGGGTGCGTGGGGAATCATAGGGTTGTAGAGTTTGGTGGGTGGAAGGAGAGGGGAGGTAAAGGAAATGGATAGATCTGGTGGGCATCTGGAAAGATGGCAGTGGTGGGCATGGTTTAGTGGTGATTGAGTTTATAAAACTGAGGATGATGGAAATGTGAGTGAAGAATAGTTTGAAACAATGTATGAGAACTTTGCAAACCAAAACTTGAATTTTTTTTTAAATTGAAAGTAACCCCACACACAAAAATCCCCACTGTTAGCCACATACTGAAATAATGATTCATTATGTAAAACTTGAAATAGACACTTGGACACCATGGTGTCATACTATTGTAAAGTTGTATAGCTTCCAGAAACATCTTAAGAATGATAAAAATAATCTAAAACCAGGAAAGAGATGAATGGGATCTTCTAAGTGTCAAATCCCTATGTATATC